CTCTCTCCCCCCCCCCCATCTCTGGTCAAATTAAAATAAATAAAGTTAAATAAAACACAGCCTTTTACCTGCAGGATTTCAGAACTTGAATCTATTTTGACAGTTATTTTTAAAAACATTCAGTTATGCTACTTAAAATGAAGGAGTCAATATCATCTGCTTTGCAAAACACTAGACCTATTAATTATAGGTTAATCAGAGTTTTTCATATTGTTTTATTTAAAATTTCCTGGTAAAAGCAAAATATCTGTGTCGTATCAACTCCATTATCTTTAGAAGTAACAGGACGTGAGTCAAGTACAAGCATTTCCCTGGTTGAATATTTACCAGTGAACAAATACAATGAGTCACAGACAGTTGAGGATACTGGAAAAGTTAGAAGCTGCTCATCAAAACAAGCTCAAAAGCAGTGAGGAACTTAACATTTTAACTTCTTCAGTACTCACTGCCTCTTGTTTTTTGACATTTATGTTACTTTTATAGAGATACACATCATAAACACTATCTCTTCCCCCATGACTCCATTCACCTTTTAAAAATCCATGCCGTTCATAATATGAACAAATCAAACCTAGTTCGTGGCTTTAAAATTTAGATCTACAGGATTTATTTAGCTTTCTTTTTTTATATATTCACCTTTAATAGCTCTAATCTGAGATCACTGAAATTCACAACTCATTTTTTAAAACTTTTTAGGAAAAGCTTACCTAATCTTTTCTCAACCTCTTCACTTGACCTCCATCATCATTCCGAACAAGGCAGAGTTTCATTCTTTTTTGCTTGAGCCTGAACCTGCCCCTTGTAGTTGTGGAAAGATAAAGTTAGCAAAAAAGAGTCATCTAGAGAGAAGAACAAGGAAAGAAATGCACAGCCAGGACCTACTAAAGAGGCAACTATTGCCTCTTTCTCTGTGTATCTGGTGGAGACAGCCTTCTCATCAGTCTTGTTCACGGAGACCTGGAATTCTCTGTCTTGTTACACCAAGCTCATAACGTTGATGGTTTAAACTGGTTTCTGCACATGTTTGGATTTAGCTGACAGCTCAACAGATTTTCCGTGTCAAAGGATTTATTTTTTTTCTTTCCTGTCTCACTAAGAATTTTCCTCAGCCTTTGCACTCCTGGGAATTTAGAACCATGATCTCTAGGTACAAAGGTTTGGGACCTGCCTGCAGAGGTTCATTTGCATTTCTAGTCCCAGAGGAAGGTTTGAGAACCTGATTCTTTGGTATTAAAGGAACAGGCACTCAGGTAGGCTTCTTCCTTCCCTCACCTACCTAACATTCTTCCTTTAAGTGTGCAACTTTCTTCTTTCCACCTAGTGACTACCATTACTTCAGGTGACTCCCAAAGCTTTTCTGGAACTGCTTTCAAGATTTCCTGCTCTAGGGAACCAGCAGTTAGCGTAACGGCTATGTCGCTGGACTCCCACGTAGTCAACCGCGGTTCGCGTCCTGGACCCGGTGGCTTAGAACTCACGCCAGGTGCATGTGCGTGCGTGCCCAAGGTCCCGAGAGGAGAATGGAGGAGAAGGGATTGCGGCGTGACCATCCCTCCTGGGGGGTCATTTCTCGCTTTCTGTCTCTATGTCTCTCTCTGTCTGTCTGGCGAGCGCACACGCCCTATATCAAAAACCTCTTCCCCCCCAAAAAAAAAAAAAAGATTTCCTGCTCTAGCCAATTTCATTTATTATCAGTCTACTGTAGAAAGTACTAAAAATGCTTAAGTAGGGTTAGGAATTTTCAGTGTTCTGTTAACTTTCTTCTTATGCCCTTTTCTCAAATTCGGACTCTCCTGCTCATTTGCAAACAAATAATAGTACCTTTGGTGCCAATGGGGACTGCTCGCATATTTTTTTCCTGTGTTGTATACATTCCAACACCTACCTGGTTTTTTCTTCAGACAGTTGCTACAGTTATCATACCTCTTCCTCAATATGTGTGGATTTCCAGTAGAAAAGGCAAAACAGTGGTTATTTCTCTCTTCTAATTGGCATTAAAAATTTTACTCTCAGCAAAATTCTTTATCCCCAAAATGAAAAAAATCTTCTATGTGCCAAAGGGGACCTTGCCTGAGGCTCTGAGGTTCTTACAGGGCTTTGGTTGTAAAGATCAACTTATAAGGAATACTGCCTCCTTTCCAAGTCCCTTCAGCTAAAAAATGAGACTGGCACACTGACCCAGTTCTCCCCTGCCTGCCTTCCCTGAGCTGCAATAACACAAAATCTGGTGTCATCATCACACACTGGAGAATTGCCACTAATGCAAGAAGATTTTTCTTCTGAAAAGTTAGCGATTGTATGTTTCTAGTCTCACATACATAAATTTATACAGGCACACACATACTAGGGGTCTTACAAAAGTTATGGAAAATCCACATGAAAATCTATGCATTTCAAAACTCTTTATACCAAAATTAACTTGTACTTTAATTCCACTTTCCATGAAGGTTTTGAATGCACACACACACACACACACACACACACATTTTTTCCCTTGACCAAGAATCCATTTAGGTATTGTGCAGCACTAATTAATTCCACTAATAAACACTAGTCTCGCATGTTTTTAATGTTCTTATGCTCGAACTGGATTTCTGTGATGCTAGGCAGTTGCTTGCCTATCTTCGCATTCTTACGGATATAGCACATTCAAATATAAACCTCGGGCTGGCTTCTTGCTATTGACAAAAAGAGAAAGGTCTGAGGAAACGATGAAGGTAAATAAGCTTTCAAAGTTAACAGTCTGCTTAAATGGAAATTTGTAAAATTTTTATAAAATGCTTGTGTATGTAAGCCAATTTATTATTATTTTTATCAAACCAATTCCTTTGCAAAGCCTCTTTCTAGCCTCATTCAGTGACATAACCACTATTTCTTTTCATTTTAAAATTCAGACTTTGGTATTAGTTCAGTTAGCTGCCCCATTGCAGACCTCACAAGGTGAAGCTTCACTGTTGTTTTCTAATAATTTTCTTTATGTTGCAGACCAGTTTCCCATTGCATCTCAGAATGGATCATGCCGACAAGTGCAGTATCCTCTGACGGACCTGTCCCCCATCCTAACAAGTGGGGACTCTGATATATCCAGTCCATTACTGCAAAATACTGTCCACATTGACCTCAGCACTCTAAATCCAGAGCTGGTCCAGGCAGTGCAGCATGTGGTGATTGGGCCGAACAGGCTGATCGTGCATTTCAATGAAGTCATAGGAAGAGGTAAGTATTTCCACTCAGCTTTTTGTTAAATACGATTTTCCAGTAAGCATTTTATCTTCTGCCTTTGCAGATTAGGAATTTAGACAATGGTGAAAGCAACTGACAGACCGCTGATAACAAGTGTACTTGATTTCAGTTCTGCAGAACTGCAGCCCTGCAAATCCTATCCACAGGGATTGTCCCCCAATGCATGGAAGCATTAGGGTAATCTCCCAAAGTGTTAGAAATAAATCACATTCCTTCTTCCTCTTCTCACACTGACAACTACAGTTTCTTGCCAGGTGCCATTTACTTCCTTTTTAAAAGTTGTTCTTTTAAGTTTGGATGTTTTCATCTCTATCTGCTTCCAGGCTTTCTGTAGCCTGAGAACAGTGACAAACTCTATGAAGCCCTGGTTTATAACAGTCTGTACACTGCTGGACTGCATCAGAAGACAAGGAATTTATAGCAGTCCCCTGATTCAAAGCAACATGTATCATCTCTGCAGTGTACTCCAAAGTCTTTATATACAAAGAGGAATGAATTTTTGTAATAAGTTCCCCAGATCAGCAATGGCATCAAAAATAAGCAGTATTTATTCAAGGAAATACTCAGCCGGAAAAAGAAACCAACCAGAAGCCAGGAAATGAACTTTACTTTTCCTTTTCTTTTTTTCTTTTTTTCTTTTCTTTTCTGATCTCTTTTATTCTCTATATGAGAGGTTGCACAGGCATCTGCCAGCATGATGCAGGAGAAGCTGATGGGATGATTTGCCTTATATGAACACTAGGCCTTCTCATTTTCCTCTGATAGCATCCACATATTCCTGTGTCACACACTGCAGCGTGTAACCTGTCAGGTGCCTCTCCTTCCCTAAGAGTGAGCAACTTTCCTGCTAACGTGTTTTCCATGTCTCACATTAGACTTTTACCAAGTTCTGCTACCAGCCTGTAAATCCCAGTAATGGTGCCCGTTTTAGAGTGCATGACTCACTGATTATGTTCTCATTCTACACATTGTAAAATTAGAATTTTTTTCACCATGAAAGGTGCTAAATGGCAATTATTTCTCTTTTGAAGTAATCATAACAGTTCTATAGATATTTAGTACTATTTATTTATATATTTTCCTCCAGAAGAATATGAGCACTCATGAGCGTGGGTGTTATTTTATTCATCTTTGCATTACAAGAGGGTAGCCTAATCCCTGACACTCACGCACTAGGTACTCAGAGCCTCTTTGGCGGGCTGGATGAATTAATGAACGAATGACTTACGTAGCTATCAGACATTTGGCACCTCTGGGAAAATTACTGCCACTGGATGAAAGGTTGCTCTTGGGAGAGTCATGTGGCCAAAGCCAAAGAGAACTGGATCAAATGAGTCAGAGTGAATTTGTTTCATTTAAGCAACTGCCTTTCAGTTTCTGCCAACCTGGATTACGCATTAACCGGTGACTAACGGGGGAAATCCTTGTTCTATAATACTAATCTTATTTCTAATAGTAACATTTTTATTTCATTTCAGCTTATTAGAATATAGGGCATTTACTTTATTACATTTCTTCATGTAGGCAAAACTTTACGTTCATATTTTTTAAATATTACTTTATCATTAAAAATAATGCATTTCATGTATACACATGTCTCTCCTATTTTTAGTGGTTCCATTATGGCTGAATATTATATTAGCCTTTAATAATAGTCTTTAATATCTTTATTATCACCTACAGCTTTACCATGTATTAAATAACCATATTGCATATCTTTTTTGTGAAAATGCATTGTATTTACATATATGCACAAACACACACATATAGTGGTATTGTTAATTAGAAGTACAAAAACACACCATATTTGTTTGCCATAAAGAAAAAACAAAGAAATGAATGTCATGAAGGGCTTAGTAAGTAATTATTGCAAAATTAAACATTATACACCACTAACCAAGTTTCCCCTTTCACATAGGACATTTTGGTTGTGTATATCATGGGACCTTGTTGGACAATGACGACAAAAAAATTCACTGTGCTGTGAAATCCTTGAACAGTAAGTTACATTTCATTTAACAGTAGAGTATACTTTCATGGTTTAAAACTAGTTTTAAAAACCTAGTAAGTAGCTTATATAAGATGTTGATTTATACTTTCCCTTATGGAAAAATCAGCTATGGCAGAAATTATGGGTCTAATCCTAAAAATGTGTTTGGGCTCAACTCTTGTTGAAATTATCCCTTACAGCCTTCAAAAGTGAGAGTGTAGGAGAAAAGAGTGTTTGGGCTAAACTCTTGTTGATATATTTCCTCTGAAATTATCCCTTACAGCCTTCAAAAGTAAGAGTGTAGGAGAAATAAGGTTCTTGGATGAACTGAGTATCATTTAACTATGTTTTGGCTTATAATATTTGTTTTGTGAATGACATTTATGGAAAGTATTGGAAGCATGTTGGCACATACAGTAGTAATGACTCATTTTACCCAGAGGCATTGCTATAATTATTTTTTAACCACAACTTCCATTTAAAAGATAAAAAATGAAATACAACAAGCAGGAGAGAAATATGCTGGCAGAAAATTGAAAAATTATAAGCATGATAATACCTCATTTGTCCACATTTTTGGAGAATGAAGCAATCCACGTAAATGAACTTCCTAAGTGAAACTTCTTCCCTTTTAATGCTGGAACATTTCTTTAAATTTTAGCTATTATTGAGAAAATCCTTTTAAGATGAAATGCATACTCCATTTAAGAAACAGAGAATGCTTCTAAACACAGCTAAGTCTTTAGTGATGACATAGACCCATAATTGTGGACAGAAATTATTATATTATACAATCCAATGTACTTCATATTCTAGAGTATTGCTGGCTCCAGCTTTGTTGAAACATCTCATGTGCTTGCTTTTTCTACTCCCATTTCAAAGTTTTTTTGCTTATGATGTGCAGCAACCTGAAAAATAGTAACCAACTCTATTATTAATTTATATTAGAATTAATAAGTTTTAAATTAAAAATTAGAAGGGTTTCCTACAAAATACAGTATTGCCACAACAGTTTTGACCTTTTTAAATATAAATCTTCATGCTCTATATGGTTCTATACAGTTAAGTTTGTGTCCTATGTGGTTAATTTCATTCAAAGTCTGGCCACTAGATAATTAAAGTGACAGTCTATATGAAACCCTACTACAAACTGTGCTGGATTATGTGTGATTGTCAATACATTTGCCTTATCAGTGATCACTACTGTCAGTTGTACTCACAGTAATTCTAACAGTGAGAAATCTTTCTCTGCCTTTAGTGTGCGTTGCTCTCTATTCAGTCCATATGGACTTTGGGTAGCTTTGAAAGGTCTCAGAATTGCATTCATAAAAGACTATCAACACTATCGCTAATGCCAAAGAGATACTAGTCAGATTAATACAGTGAAGGTTAATAATTCTTCATTAATGCTAACTGTTGGATTGTCGGAAAAGTCATGACGCATTTTTCAATGCGTCATGACTTTTCCGACAATCCAATAGTATTGGGCCTTCAGCATCTCTATCTGAAAATTACTAGAAATTATTATACCAAAAAATATCAACTTAGGGCCAGCAGGTGGCATGGTGGTTAAGGATCTGGATTCCCGCATGGCTGACCATGGTTCAAGACTCAAACACAACAAATTAAAAATTATGCAGGGCACGTGTGCTTGTGTGGCCAAAATCCCGAGAGGAAAATGGAAGAGAAGGGATCGTGACATGGGCCATCCTCCCTTGGGGTGTGATTTCTCATCTTCCTTTTTTTTATCTCTCTCTGCCTCTAGTGAGCTCATGTGCCCTGTGGCAAAAAATAAATAAATAAATAAACCTAAAATTTTATGTGTATATATATATATATATATATATATATGCATGTGTGTGTGTCTGTGTATGTGTGTATAGAAAGAGAATATATATATACATACATATATGTGTGTGTGTATATATAAATGCATACACACACACACACACACACACATAATTTAGATACCATATGATGATTGGTTTTCGATTTCTCTTAACCCAGGAATCAGCAAACTATGGCCCACAACTTGTTTTTGTGAATAACCTTTAGTAAGTCACAGCCACTATTGTCTGCAGTTTCTTTCATGATATAATAGAACTGAGTATTCACAACAGAGACATGTGGCCCACCAAGCAAAACAATTTTTACTATCTGCCCCTTCACAGAAATTTTCCAGCCTCTGCCCTAGACATTACTACAGAAATTAACTGGCCTGCTTCCCAATTTTTTTTTTCTGTGAGACAGACTGGTCATTAGACTCTATCTTATCAAAGTGAGTAGTAGGTGGTAACTTGAAGGCACAGTGCCTGGTAACATCATTCACTCAGATGCAGTGTTAAAAATAAAGCCCTGAGGTTGAGCCCTGAGGACAAAGTGTAACTATGGTTACATTCTGTTGCCTTTCCATCTAAATTTGACCAAGTGTTCATTGTTCCATGGTAAAGTTAATGTCTCTACTGCTGGATTTCTCAGGAATTACTGACATAGGAGAAGTTTCCCAGTTTCTAACCGAGGGAATCATCATGAAAGACTTTAGCCATCCCAATGTCCTCTCCCTGCTGGGAATCTGCCTTCGAAGTGAAGGGTCTCCCCTGGTGGTCTTACCATACATGAAACATGGAGATCTTCGAAATTTCATTCGAAATGAGACTCATGTAAGTATGTTACAAGCTTACTAAGGAACTAACTGGAAGCTAGTCATCCCTTCCAAGTAAGCCTGCTCTGATCCTTTTTAAAAGCTGTTAGCTGAAAATGTTTTTGTGAAAAGGTGGCACCATTCACTCAGACCTCAAATCTTCTGTCCTGGGGGGGAAGATAGGTGATACTTTGAAAGTTTCCTGGAGCAGTGATTCTCGCATGCTCTGCAAGTAACCCTGCTGACCGTCTTCCCGATAGCTCCGTTTAGTCATTCTTTAG